CAAGAGGGGGGTGACACAATTTGGATTTATGGTCATGACTGTGGAGGTGATCTGCAGGTGCTGATCCTATCGGAAATCTGGGATCTTAATCCTATCCTTTAGGGGAACAATATATCACCCCTATAAATCGTATCTAAAGGCTTCAGCTAAAGACGTGTAAGTTGAGTCGGGGAAATTTGTACTTTGCATGTATTCTTGTGCGTGTGATGGTTCTCTAGAATTTAATAAATAAACAACACCAACCTGATTGCGGGATTAAAAAAAAAAAAAAATAAATTTTTGATATAATTAATAAAATTATTTGATAAAATTAAATAAGTATCAATAAAAATTAGCATCAAATGCCCTTGATTAATTAAGAAAAATTAATTAAGTAAGGTTTTCAACAGTATTATTTTGGTATCAAGTTGGTTTTATTTTGATATTTGATTCAGAATCCTATAATTGAGTTACTATTAAATTATATAAATAATTAAAATATAATACAATTATTTTTGAGAATTTTAAAATTTGATTTAATAGTAAAATAATTTTTATTAAATATATACTTTTATGAACAATAATAAAATAAAATTTTTTTGTGTTTAGTTTTAAAAAAATTTTTTTATTAGTTAATATGATTTTTTTAAATTTTCTTAAAATAACAAATATTTAATAAGTTTATTGTATTATTATATAAAAACAGGTTGGATTTATTATAATTTGATTTATTAATTACTTTTTTTTCAAATATATTCACTATTTATATAATTGATATATATCTTTATATATTATTATATAATACAAATGAAACAAACCTTTAAAGACCTTATACCTTTTAATTATATAAAATTAGTATATAATAAATATCTTGTATAGTGTTGTATTGAATTCTTTATATTATATTTTATACTTATTAAAAAATTTATATTAATAATATAAATAAATATATACAGTATATATATATTATAAAAATAAAAATAAACAATATATATATTTTATAATTTTATATAGAACGTCTAATAATATTATTTTGATACTAGTTTGTTATTGAAATTTATTATAAAATATATAAAGAGATTACAATTCATATATTAAATTTATTATAGATTAGAACTGTTTTGATATTAGTTCAATCTTTTTTGAAGTTTTTATTTGATTATACTATTTATAATAATTAATTTATAATATTTGCTTATATAACATATTGTCAAGATCAGAATAAAACTATATATATGTTTATTAATTATTTGATATGTCTTAGACTTGCAAATTATTATAAACAGATCAGATATTTTTTAAAATATTGAGATCACTAAATACTATATAATTCTATAATATAATCATAATTTTAAATTATTATATCTAACTTGATTATTTTTATTTTTTATTTTATATATTTTATTTCATATTTAGAAATAGATTTTTTTTTATGTTTACAAATCCAATTATTATTTATATTCTAATAATCTATTTATTTTATCTTATATAATATATTATAAATTCATCTAATTTCTTTATATTTTATAAATTCCATTATGTTATTTATATTTTGCAGATCTATTAATATTATTTTATATCATATGAACGTACTTACTCTATGTATTTTTCTAACTTATTTTTTTATTTTATATTTTATAATTTTTTTTTTACTTTATCTTATATCTTGATAATTTATTTAATTTATTTATAACATGTAATAATTATATTGATATATCAATACTATATTCTATTCAAGATTTTTATATTTTTAAAATAAATTTAAAAATCCATATAATATGAAAATTCTACTAATATATATAATATATAATATGATTAGTTATAAATTAGTATTAAAAATTGTGAACCTTTTATTATATATAGAGGATATCGATAAAAGTAATTTAATTATTATTTTTTTTATTTGAAAAAAAATCACAAAAAAAAAACATTTCTCAATTATATATTTTTTCTAATCAACTTACTGATCAATGTTTTAAAAAACCCCTTAAGTAACTTTATTTCTTATACAGCAGCAGCATTTTCATTTACTACATCTTTGGCATCGTAAATTTCTCAATACTGTAATCTTATCATCGAATGATTTATATCATGGTTACTATAAATGTATTAGTTGAAAAATGTTTACGTAAAATTCGCAAATTCATATCGATACATAATTTAGACAGTATTTTTTTTAATCAGATTTTCGTTATTACATGAACAGAATGTTACAACCCTTTATTCATTTCCCTTCAAGAAGATCAGCAGTTTATGGTACCCATGCATTGGTAGCAAGCACGTACGGTATTGCCGGAAATTCCTTCATATTAACTTTTGCGACTTATGATTAATGCGTTTGCCGAACCTTACAGTCAGCCGCTGGCATGTCAAGCTGGTTTGGACATATTGAAAAAAGGCGGGAACGCTGCTGTAATAAATCTTCGATATTTAATAATTTATAGTTTCAAATCACAAAGCATTCTTTGACCAGCGTCTTATTCTATTTATAGGATGCGGCCGTTGCCGTAGGTACGACGTATTTTAAGTTTCTCGAAAAGATAATTAACATCATGGTTACTGATTAATTCACATTTGTCGTTGTACATTTTAGCGGCGGCTTTAAATGTTACAGGTATTTATTTAACATTTAAGTTTGAATATTATTTATGAATGGATCGTGACGAGTTATTTGTGATGAAAAGAGCCATCATCAACGGGAATTGGGGGAGATTGCTTTTGCCTTTATTATGATGCAAAAACAAAAAAGGTTGGTGCGTTAAATGGCTCGGGACGGTAAGTTTATTAATAGAAGAATCATGAAGAAAATGTATTTAGTAGAATTGACATTTTAATATTGTCCGATTTTAGATCACCTGCC